TCTCTAGTTTGGGGCAGCCGTGTGTAAAGCAGATCCAGCACCATGTATCTCCCAGTAAACATGCTCATATGCTTCATCAGATGGAGACCTGGGAGTAGAAGCACTGAGTCAGGAGGCATTTGTATTTATTAGCTATAGTAGATCCTAGTAAATGTTTCTAAAGTCGGTTGTGCCTTTTATCAATTTCCTGCCTGTCCCTCTCAACCCACCTTATTGTCTGCCCAGCTGTACTAATGTTTCCTTGTCAGCTAGTGCAACGTTAAACTTTGACATAAGGACCAGCAGCCTTCCTTGGACAAGGCATTCTTCTTGATTCTGATGTGCCCAGGGGGCATGTTCCTCTACGTGTGACAATCAGAAGCACACAGTCCATCTCCGTGGGCAACTTCTTCCAGTGTCAACCCAACACAGAGCATCATTCCTGTGGAAAGTTCTGGAGAAACTTCTACAGTGTTACACCTTCCTGTGAGGTTTCCCTATGCAGCCTCAGGTGAACACTTTCCACTCAATTTTACCTTCATGGAAATTCAACAGACTTCATCATCTAGTGGGGATGACTGTATCGTTTCCAACCAGGCATAGAGCCCAGCCTAGGGCTTAGAAGCAGAAGGCCAACATCTCTCCATCTGTGCTCTGTCTTGACTGATACTACTTCAGAATTAAAGGGTGTTCCCTCTGTGTCTAAGTCATGGTGTGGTTTCTGTGTCTTGAGTAAACCCAGACTCATCATGAATAAACCAGTTTTCACTTTCACCAGTTATGTAAGAGAGCCTGTTCCAGGGCCGGAGTAGCTCAGTGCTTAGGAGCACTGGCTGCTCCTGCAGAAGCCCCAGATTCAGTTCCTAGCACTCACATGGAAGAACACAATTCTTTTGTAACTCTGGTCTTAGGAGATCTGATACCCTCTTCTGACTTCATTGGGCCAGGCACACACATACATGTAGACAAACACTCATACACATAAAAAATAAATCTAAAAAATTAAATAAGGTACTAATTTATAATAAAAAATGAGCCTCAGTTCCTCTACACCCAGTTATTTTAAAGTCCTTGTCCAGCAATGCAGCATCTGACGAACCTTTCTGTCTGCTGATACTGTATTCTCCTCCTGACCAACTATGTCTTCATGCCTCTTTATACTTTTAATTATTATTGCTGTTACTTGTTTACTTTTTGTCAGTAAGAATTGAACCCTGGTTTTGTGTGACAAAACTTTCCTGGGGAGATGAAAACACACTAGTCTACTTACCCCAGATAGGGAACCCACAACAGAGCAAAATATGGACACCACCAAAGTCCAAATTGAACCAATGAGATCTACTGGAGTGACCTACAGGAATACGGGTGAGAGGTTACTTACAGGAGCAGAAATGACTCAAGACAAGTGCATCACCAAGGCCCAGCCCAGCTTGGGTGACAGCCTGCACAGTTGGAAAACCTGAGGCACGCTACACAGCCTGCGGACCGCTCAGTAGGTTGAAGAATGCCCTTCCCAGGAGCCTCAGTTGGTCTAAAGCTCTTCCAGGCCATTCAGCGTGTTTCTACTTCACCTGGGCAGCTCATCTGTTCTCAGAGTCTTCATTTGTATCTCACTTTGTCTGGGAGTCATCTTTGCAGCTGGCTCTGCCCTGTCTGGTAGGGAGGGGCCTAGTGAATCTGGCCAGATTGAGGGAGAGCTTGAAGGTGTTTTTTAGTGACTTGATTGCTTAAGGAGCTCCCCTGCAGGACGGAATGCTTTAATCTCAGAGGAGACTGGTACGCAGCACCTGTGCGGCATGCCTGCAAGGACCATGCTTTGGCACTGGCCCACATATGAGCCTGCACTTTAGAATTAACCTTATTGTTCTTGAGTTCTCAGTAGTCCTCATTGTCCGCTATGTTCAGAGAGTCCGGTTTTATCCCAGGCTTTTCCAGACCCAGGCCAGCTGGTCTTGGTGAGTTCCCAGTAGAACATCCCCATTGTCTAAGTGTGTGGGTGCACCCCTCACGGTCCTGAGTTCCTTGCTCGTGCTCTCTCTCCTTCTGCTCCTGATTTGGACCTTGAGATTTCAGTCCTGTGCTCCAATGTGGGTCTCTGTCTCTGTTTCCTTTCATCGCTTGCTGAAGGTTAATATTCAGGAGGAACAATGGCAATGGGTTTCTGATCCTACTGCACACACTGACTTTGTGGCATTCCCCAGGGCGGTGAGTGTAGCTCGCTTGCTTTCTCACCAACTAGGGAGGACTCTGTGTGTCAAGCCAGCAACTCTGACCTTTATTCTAGTCCAGGAATTGGCTCCTGGCCCACTGGCTGGCCTTGGACCTAAAGGCATGAAATCTGGTCTGTGCTCTCTCTGAGTCCTTGGCCAGAAGTCTGGTGTACCACGTTCAGGCACACCTGATCAGCCATGCGTATCTGCTGGAATCTTTGGAAAGGCTTCAGCTCAATGGGGCCTAAGTATACAAGTTATTGTCTCTTAGCTCTTAGCCCAGCTGCTGGATTAGTTCCTACCCCCACCCCCATCCCTGTCCTCTGACCTGGCTACTTGGCTCTCACTTGCTTCTTCTGGACCTTTACCTAGGTGCTCTCTTCTCTAGGCTCCCACGTAGTTCTGTAAATCTCTCTCCAACACTGCTTAGTCCTGAACTGCGGGGGGGGGGGGGCGGGGGGGGGGGCGGGGGGGGTCCCTGTTCCAAGGCCGGCACTCAGTGGGTGCTCCATCGACTTCCTCTCAGAAATTGTCCTGTTTTAAAAAGACTGCTCACCAGCAACTAAGCCACAGCCTTATTTCGGGGTTCAAAGAACAGGGGAGGCAGCCTAAATGGGATAATCCGTCCTGAGTCACTACCTGAGCGCTCCAAGTGACTGTTGAAGGCCCTCAGGAATGTGACAATTAAGCTATTTAAGGTCTCATTTCTGGGGAGACATGAGAAGGATTTCTGTATGGAAATAGAATAGATATAAACTCCACTCATATGGAACACCCTCTGTGCATCTTCCCTGAGGCCGTGGTAAATAAAAATGGGAGGAAAGGGCAGTGGCAGGGCAAGGTGAAGTCAAGGTGGGCTTCCGGTCTTCAAGGCTCCTCCTCAGCCACATCATTTACTCCCTTACTGCCAGTGACAGGCACTTTCTGCCATCTAGTGTTTTCTCTATGTCCTGGGTCTCTCGACGGCCACCTGGGCTTTGAGAGCAGCATATGGGGGTTTGAGTGTAAGGAGTAGCTCTCACCAAGTGGTTGGTGGCTGGGAGGCCAACAGAAACCTGCCCTAGGCAGAATCTCAGCCTGGCCTGCGGGATGCCGTGCAAAATGGTGAGACAGGCCTGGGTGTGTAAAGTCATAAAGGCCATTTACAAAAAAAAAAAAAAAAAAAAAAGAAAGAAAAGAAAAGAAAAGAAAAAAAAAAAGAAAGGAAATGACCCTGAAGTGGATGTGGAGGTAGGGAGACCCTGTCTCAGGGGGGGGAGAGAGAGAGAGAGAGAGAGACAGAGAGAGAGAGACAGAGAGAGACAGAGACAGAGACAGAAGAATGAAATAGCATTGAGCCTTAGAACAAGAGGTCACTTCACCCCCACTAGTGTGGCCATATTTAAAGGACACAGAATTACAAGTGTCGACAAAAACAAAAAAGGAACAAAAGCTGTGTCTAAAGTCAGGCCTTCCCTACCTGGGGAGGGAGGCAGAGATAGCCAGGTCCCCTAGACTTGCATCCTAGCCTGCCTACTCAGCAGGCTCTGGGTCAAGGAGACACCATCTCAAAATAAACAACAATAAAACCAAAACAACAACCATGATTCCCCAGACCAAACATCAAAACAAAGCAAAATGGTGAATAACACCCAAGAACGACACCTAATGTTGTCCTCTGTCATCTACAGGCATGTGCATCACACACACACACACACACACACACACACACACACACACACACACACACACACACATGTGGAGACAGTTGTTGGAAAGTAAAATGCTGCTTTGGAAATGGATCCATCCCCGAAAAGAGTTACCTGAGTGACCTGGTGATTCCACTGGAGGTATATCCAAGCTACACAGACTTGTATAGTAATATTCTAGCCACTTCATCCATAACAGCCCAAAATAAAAACGTAGATAACCATCGGTTGACAAGCAGCCAAACAAAATGGTTCTTGTGCATACGGTGGGAGATGCGTCTGTTTGAGGCGCTGCTACACTCCCTGCTACACTGGCCCACATACATTCAGCCTGAAGACACCGTGGAAGAAGTCAGTCACAGAGACCACATGCTGTATGACTCCATTTATAGAAAATGTTCTGAATAGGCAAATCCACCGTGGCTGGAAAGCAGATTAGAGGTTTCCAGAGGCTGGGAGAAGGGAAGAATGAGGAAAGGCTACCCACAGAGGTTTTTATTTATTGGGGAAAGGGGGTAGTGACCAAAATGTTCTGGAATTAGATAATAACTATGGTTGCACAACTTTGTGAATATACCAAAACCCCACCAAAACGCACATTTTAAAAGCGTACATTCAGCGTTATGTGATCCTATCTAAAGTCTTGTGAAAGGGGGTGGCCTGGGGCGGGGGATGACTGCTACGGAGAGGAACAGCGAAATGCTGCACGACTGTCGCCTCCTGTCCCACTAGCAAATTCGCATGGACTTTGAGGCCTGAAACTTCGCACCTAGCAGGCCCTCGAGCCCTGGGGTTCTGGGGACTCTGTTGACAGGAGTCATCTAGGACTGGGGAGGCGTCTGCAGGTCTCGAAGTTGGCGGCCGCTGAAGAGAGTTAAAGATTGGAGCGCCGACTCTTTTAAAGCCGCCCGGAGAGAATTCTCATTTGTGTCCCAGGCTCGGCGGTGGCTGCCGGGGCTGCGGGTCGGTGCGGTGAGTACGTGGGGCCGAGGGACCCTGCCTGATGCCAGCTGTCCCAGCGCCCGCAGTGGCGCCGTTTTGGGGTCGCCGCGGCCAATTGGAAAGCGCTCGAGGCGCAGGGGACGCGGTCGCTTTAAGGCGGCGGCGGGGCGGGGACGGCGGCGGCGGCCGGGCTGGCTGGCGGGGAGCCGTCAGTCGGCGGCGCGGGGCCCGGCGGGCGCGGGCGCGGCGCTCCCTCCTCCCGCGGGGGACGAGCGAGGAGGTGGCGGCCGAGGGTCGGAGCCCAGCCCGGGCCGGAGCGCGCGGTGAGCGGCCGTGCAGCCCCGCGGGGAGGAGGCCGGCGGGCGCTTTGTTCCGGGGCTGGAGGTGTGGCCGGCGGTGTGGCCCGCTCGGCGCTCGCTCGCCCTGCTGCGCTGCACCCAGGCGCCTGGCTCTGGCTGTGCGTGGCCTCTGCCCCCGCCACCCGCCCCAGCACAACGGTGTGCGGTGAAGTCGCTCGCCACCCGGACCCCAGTGGGGGAGGGCCTGGCCACCGCTCAGACAGACTCCTTTGACTGTAGTCACCCCGGGATTCCTCGGTTGCCCGGGTAAGGACTTGGCGGGGAGGTGGGCAACGGGGTGGTGGGGCTCTTCTGGCTTAAAATGGCGTTAACCAGGGTAGGGATCTGCGGAGGGGTGGCACATTCGTGAGAATAATGAAAGACAGCTTGCTTCATAAACAACTCTTTACTGCGCCCTGGGTTCGGGTTGCTGGGGCTCTGGTCACAACTGGGGCCTGCGCTCACACACTAAAGTGACGCGGCCCGGTGCCCCACCATGTGTCAGGCTCAATGCCAACTCCTGTCCCACCCGGAAGGTAGGGGCACAAACTGAGTGACAGCCCAGTGTGGTCAGTCGAAGAACTCAAAAGACCCTCCTTAGGGGCAGGAGGTCCAGGAAGACTGTCTAGAAAAGCAGATGTGAGCATCTGCGGGGGCTCTTGACATCCAGCTGGAAACCTCTGCAGAGCTGAGGTGGCCTGGGGCTTGGGACAACGTGTAGTCTGGAGAGGGGACAAAGACAGTTTCACCTGAGCTTTGACCCAAGCACTAGTGGCGGGGAACCTCTTTGGACTACCATGGTTTTTGCTCCTCTGGACCAAATTAGAGAGAGTAGACCGATGGGGCTCAGAACTGTGGCCTCTAGAGGTCTGCCTGGACACGGGCATAAGAGAAAAACACTTAAAAGCAAAGCATACAGAGACCGGGCGCTTGAGGGGGGATTTGCCCATCTTCAGACAGGGACCCACCAGAAAGATGTTAATGATGGTGGTACCCAGAAAGGGGGCCGTGGACAAACAACCTACCCAGGATTGTGTCAAAGAAGTCTGTGCTTTTGACCCTGTGTCTGGCCTGCCCTGTTTTGAGTGTGTGTGTGTGTGTGTGTGTGTGTGTGTGTGTGTGAGAGAGAGAGAGAGAGAGAGAGAGAGAGAGAGAGAGAGAGGTGTCCAGGGCGGGTGGTTTTAAGGCTAGTGCAGCAGTCTCTTCACCCTGCATCCTGCATCCTGCATCCTGCAGCGGTGGGTTGAAGTGTGAGGTGGTGGCTATGTCTGTTAACCGGCACACGTCCCACGTCAGGGCTTAGCTCTGAACAAAGTGCTTTCACCGAGGCAGTTTGTAGAGTTTCTCCTGCCCCCTTTCCCAGAGAAGAAATCTGAGCCGCTAACATTCCGTAAATCTTCGAATTTCCTGTAAATTGCAGGTCCCTGCTGGCTGGGGCTGAAAGTGTTTCAGGCCGTGGTGTTTCCTCACGGGTCTGCTCACACTACCCAGCAGGCAGTTAGCATCTCTGTCTGTGGGTTTACTGTACGATTGGGCCTTTCTCCACCAGGGTGGGAGGTGTGGGGAGCTGTTGCTGTGGGGTTTCAAGGTCAGTCTCTTTGTAGCAGGAGGTTAAGCAAGTCCCCAGGCCCCCCAGATGTGACCTTGACATTTCCTTCTGGAGAGGAGAGCCCCCCTGGGGAGGCAGGTGACTACCTTCTAGAGCTGTCTGCCTTGCTCCTGCATAAAGCAGTTTCCATAGCTCTGGCTGACCTGAAACCCACTGTGTAGATCAGGCTGGCTGGAACTGATATCTACCGCCTCTGCCTCCTGTGTGCTGGGATTAAAGGCACACACCACTACGCTTGGCTGCATTTATGATTTCTCTGTGTGTGACAAATATAAGGAGTTTTAGGCACAGATATTTCACCCTGATCTCCAGTGATCATCTGGAACTAGGGAGGACTCTAATGAATTGAGCCCTTAGAGTGACTGGTCCTAACATTACCTGTTTCCTCACCTCCTGCATCTCCTGAGTTCTCAGGAAACTGTGATCTCTATGCTATATTTGACTCCTGTTGTTGTCATTGTAACCTTGTCTGCTGATGCGATACCCCCCAAACAGTGTGCCACCCTGGAAGTACCTGAAAACATACCGCTCCTGGGTACTGCATGTTTTGCACAAACAGTACTAAGTGTGAACTAGGTCCTTGTGCAAAGCTGGAATGCGCTCTAGTGTCTAGAGGGTGTGAGTGTAGGCACGAGCCGGCTGCGAGGGACATAGAGAAGGGAAAAACGAAGGAGCTGGATGTGAGTGCCTTGTAGTTTGGAGCACCTGGCCGGTGCCCATTCTACAGGTGCTGAGCAGAGCCCTTTGCAGCCTTACCTCATAGTATATGATACCTCTGGGCCCTATGGTCCAAGTCTGCAGGGGTGCATTGGGCTGCAATAACAACACACAAATAACACAGGCTAGATGAGGCTCAGATAAGGCTCCCAAAGACACCCTAGGCTCTTGTAAGATCTTGTACACTTCTGGCAGTTACTGTGTGGGACAGGTAGCCATGGAAGCTGAGACTCTGGAGTTTAGTAAAGTCTTGGTTTTCATGATCTTGAAACGCCGCTTTTTAAAAAGTGTGTATGAGAAGCCAGAGAACATTGGCGTGCAGAGTTGAACCTGTGCGCTGGTTACTTCTCTTGCCGCCGTGACAAAAGGCCTGAGAAAAGCAATTTACGGAAGGGTTCATTTTGATTCACAGTGTGAGAATACAGCCCCTCCTGGCAGGGAAAGCGTTCCGGTGAGACGGCTTCTGGTTGGGGTGGCAAGCATATAAGATGACTTGATCACACTGCATCCACAGTTCGAGAGCAGGAGAGACGAGTACTGGCTTTCTTCTCGCTTCCTCCTTTTTGATTTAGTTCAGGGCACCTGCCCGTTGGAAGGTGTTGCCTACATCCAGGGCAGGTATTCCCTCCTGCATGAAACATGTCCCAAACACCCTCACAGACATGGCCAGAGGTTAGCTTCTTAGATTCTAAATCTCATCATGCTAGCAAAGCTACGAAGCCTATGACTCGGGGCCGTTAGGAATCTCTGAAAATGAGTCATGGGATTGATCCTCCTGGTCTAATGCCCATTGCTTCAGCGACGGTTTTTGGAGAGTGTCGTATGTCTCAGCCGGGTACTGTTTTTCTGTAGAGCATCTTAAAGGACAGAGATGGTGTCCAACGTCGACAGAGACAGGTGCTGTGTGTCCTCAGCCGGTAGCCGACCCTGGGAGACTCTGAGGAAGGGAGTTGCGCTGTCACTGCAAAGCCACAGGTCAGGCCCACGCCATCACGACCTGCTGTGCAACCCATAGTGGTGTCTCTTGTCCTCTGGGTAGCATTCTTATTCCTTGAGAGTGTCACCTCACCAGCCCTCCTTGGCTTGCCTTCCACACCCCCACCTTTTCATCTGGCTTATGTGCTTCAAGATAGTTTTCTTCGGGCCTTACCTCTCATGGGAGGCATGGAGCAACCATGTGAATTTAGCCTGTTAATTAATTTAGTCCTTTTATGTGTCTGCCAGCTCTACTGGATGGGCTTGAGGGTAGCCAGATGGCCAAATGAAAATATGGGTCATCCCCAGCTGTTAAGGTGACAGACACATTGGGTCTCAGAAGGGCTTATTCTCTGTTTGGAGAGCCGGGTATGAGGCTATCTCTCAATGGATGAAAGTCACCATTCACATTTGCTTGTTCCACTAGTGAGATTTTGGAGACTGCCAAGAATTGAACTGATTCTGCAGCAAGGAGTGAGGGGCTAAACTGGGCAGGGTAGGGAGCTCCAAGGTCAGGCCTGGCCCTTGGAGACTGTCTAGAGGGCTTAGGTGGGTCCTGTGCTGTGCTGGCCCAGTCTCTGCCTGTGGCTTCTCTGCCCGGGGTTGTCATGGGAATTAGATGAAATACACAGATGAAATATGCTGGGAGACTAGAGAGGGCCACAAAAATAAGAGCCCAACCAGGGTTGCAGCCATCTCAACTGATAGAACCCTGACCCAGTAGGCCCCCTCCAGAATATTTAGTGTAGAATCACACCCAGCAGAACCACTTCTCATCATGATGGAGAGAATTTAAGATGTGGTACAGAAAGATTCTCATTTGAATAGTTACATAGCTGTTACTATACTTTATTTATATAAAAAAAATACAAGCAGGCATCATATCAGACCTGTTTTTTTAAATGAATATTTTTCTCAGATTAATGCTACAGAAAAATTTTAGAGCCAGGTGTTATACTCTAAGCCTGATATACTCCAGTACCTGAGGCAGAAACAGGAAGATCAGCTTAGAGTCATTGTAAGATACATAGCAAGTTTGAGGCCATCTTTGGGCTACAAGAGACTGTCTGAAAAACAGTCTAAAATGAGGATCAATGAGATGGCTCAGTAGGTAGAGACTCTTGTTGTTGAGCCTGCCGACCTGAGCTCAACCCTGGGACTTACACGGGGAGAGGATAGGACTCACTCTGCAGACTGTCCCCTGGCTCCTGTGTGCCAGGACTGCCCTTCCGTCTTTGACAGCTTTGGCTTAAGCTGGACCCTTGTAGACGTGGCACTCACTGCCCTTCAGGTTACTCTGTCTGCTCATCGTCTTAAAGTTCCTGCCTTTCACCCCTTACCCTGTTCCACACAAACCACTCAGTCATGTGTCTTATAAGATGGGCAGTTTTGCTTTCTTCAACTTCTTCTCAGTGGCATGGTTTAAAGCTAGCCTATCTGCATCACCATCTATACATTCACCCACCTATCCGTCTGTCTGTCCATCGATCCACCTGCCCACCCATCTACCTGCCCATCTTCCCTTCAGCAAGGACCTATGCTTTGGCCCTGTCTTGTACAGTTTGTATTTGCCATCCGTGAACCTCGGCACCGTCACCGGGTGATGTTAGCCTTCTGCGCTTGTGGAATCCAGGTTTCAGGAAGGCTAAGCAGCTCTCTGTCATCATGAGCTTGGAGATGCTGCACCGGAGAGGAGTCTGAGCACATTCTATTTCAAGCATACGTGTTACTTCTGCTGCATCTGCTGCTCACAGAACCAGAGGACCACACAACCCAGTCTCCTCTCTGCTGGTGCTGTGAGGTCTGATTCTATGTAATCAATACCTTGGGGCGGGGGCCTTTTAAGGAGAGTGGGTGGAAGACCTTTTGCATGAGAACCCTGTACGCAGCGAAAACCTCAGAGGCAAACCTGTGGCTGATCCACGAAGGGTAGAGAGGACTGACTGGCAGTAACCCTGACTCCATT